GTTCAGGGTCAGAAGGGACCTCAGCAGATCATCGAGTCCGACCCCCTGCCCTGGGCAGGAAAGAGTACTGTGGTCAGACAGCCCCGGCCAGTTTGTCCAGTCTCTTCTTAAAGACCCCCAAAGTAGGGGAGAGCACCACCTCCTTTGGAAGCCCATTCCAGATTCTGGTAACCCTTACTGTAAAGAAGTTCTTCCTAATGTCTAGTCTAAATCTGCTCTCTGTCAGTTTGTGGCCGTTGTTTCTAGTTACTCCAAGGAATGCCCTGGTAAACAAAGTATTTCCTATTCCTTGTTGCATTTCCCTTCCTTCCTTCCCCCCCCCCGGTGACAAATTTGTAGATGGCCACCAAATCACCTTTCAGCCTTCTCTTACGGTGGTTAAAGAGTTCTAGGTCCCTCAACCTCTCTTCATAGGATCTATCCTGCAGGCTCCTAATCATATGAGTGGCCTTCCTCTGTACCCTCTCAAGGTTATCCACATCCCTCTTGAAGTGCAGCACCCAAAACTCAATGCAGTATTCCAGCTGCGGCCTTACTAGTGCCACATAGAGGGGAAGTATCACCTTCCTCGACCTGTTCATAATGGTCAAACTGGGGTTGGAGCAACCATGTGCTTCATGCCCTGGCCTGAAATGTGTCTGGAACTGGAGTTGGAGGGTAAGCAGTAGCAGGGGGCAGAGACTGCAGGGAGGCAGGTTGCAGTTCTGACTCTGACCCTGACCTCAGGTTGGAGCCAGAGTTGGAGCCACTGAAGCTTCCTGCCACCCCTCCCACCCCCGTGTCTTGTAATCAAATCCAAGACAAGGGGCTTTTTCCCCCTATGTTAATTGTGGGGGCAGGGGGGCTTCATCTTAGATTCAAGTAAATACGGTAGAGCATAAACATGTTATTATGGTGGATCTTCCTTTTTTAATGCTAATTTGGAAACTTTAGTAGTTTGCAGTGAATTTCACAGTAGAAATTAGCAAATCTGCAGAAATTTCACATGGAGATAAAAGGCATAATTATATTTAACTGTGCTATTTTTATTTAACATCAGGCACTTTTATTGGCTCATGATAAGGTTGCAGAGCAGGAAATGCAGCCGGAGCCAGTGACGGAGGAAAAGATTTATGAGAATGTTGGCCTGTATGGAGGAGAGACGGTTAAAATAGTTCGAATTGAAAAAGCTCGAGATATTCCACTGGTAAGTATTGATACTGTGACAGGCGTTCCCTTTCTCAGGGAAGAAAATAAAGACAGAACTGTCCTTTTTGCTTTTATTCTTCCAGACTCCTTTTGGAAGACGTTGCCCTTACAATGTTTTTCACACCTTTTATAAATGATGGTAAGTATGATGCTTGTTTTCCCACAAATGTGTGAAGCAGGACACAATTTTGTTTTTCTTTGCAGATCACTGTTACTGTTCTGGAACTTGCAGAGACATACTGCTTAGACTTTGATTTGACATTTGTCATTCCTTAAATGATAAATGCTTATAGCTAACAGGGTTTTTGGTTGTAGTAGTGTTGGTCTAAGGATATAGGCAGGTAAGGTTCTTTGAGTAGATGCGATATCTTTTATTAGACCAACTGAGTAGTCAGAAAAAAGTTCTTGGCAAGCTTTCAGGCACAGTCACCCTTCTTGAGGCATAGGGAATCTCTGCTGTTCTGAGACTCCAAGAAATCTGATAGTGGGGTTGAAGTCCTGTACTTTAAAAATGCAAATTTCAACAAGCTTAGGTCACTAGCAGGGGAAGTGCTGTGGGACCAGGAACCGAAGGCGAAAGGTGTGCATGAAAAGTGTGCACGAAAAGTGGTTGTTCCTCAAGGACACGATCCTTGAAGCACAAAGGAAGTCCATTCCCATGTAGAGAAAAGGTAACAGAAGGGCTGGGAAGCCCTGTTGGCTAAACAGGGAAATCATGGTCCTCGTAAGAAAGAAGAAAGAGGCTTATAAACAATGGAAGCTCAGGGCAGGCCCCAAGGAGAACTATTCCACGATGGTCCACATTTGCAGGGAACAGATAAGACAGGCTAAAGCAGCTACCGAACTTAGATAAGCAACAGGAATCAAGAATAATAAGAAGCCCTTCTTCAGGTACATAGGGAACAGGAGAAAAACAAATGCGAGTGTGGGGGCCATTGCTCAACAACTCAGGAGAGCTGGTTACTGGCACCTAGGAGAAAGCTGAACTCCTGAATAACTACTTCACCTCGATCTTTCACTGGACCAAGGGGAAAACAACACCAGGTGAAATACAGGATGAGCACAGTAGGAATAATCATCTTCCTAGTATTGCCGTAGAATTGGTGTATGACCAACTAAAAAATTAGGCATATATAAGTCAGCGGGACCAGGTGATCTTCATCCGAGAGTGCTGAAGGAGCTGCCCAAAGTCGCCCCTGGTGAAACTCTTCCACAACTCGTGGCACTCTGGAGAAGTCCCTGAGGACTGAAAGAGGGCCAGTGTTGTGCCCATTCACAAGAAGGGCAGGAGAGAGGACCTGAGTAACAGGTCAATCAGCCTAATTTCCATTCTAGGGAAAATTCTACAAAAATTCATCAAGGAGTCTATCTGCAATAAGCTTACAGAACGAATTACATGTGCCCCTGCAGGCAGCCGCAGGGGTGTTGGCAGGGGCGGGCTGAGCAGGGAGCTCCCCCAGGTGGCCACCGTGGTGTCGGCAGCAGGGGTGGGTGGCAAGCTCCAACCGGTGGTCAGCGTTCACCTGCAGATACTGCCAGTGGAGGCCAGCGGCGATCAAGGACTGCCCGCAGACACCGCCGGCAGGGGGGAGGGGAGCAGTGAGCAGCAACCGCCTACAGGCACCACTGACAGCATCATCAGCGCTTTTCACAGGGGGTGCACGTACACCCATGTGCACCCCCTACATGTTGCCAGTGTTGCAGAAGGTAAGATTCTGAGTGGCAGCCAGCATAGCTTCATTGCAGGCAGGTCTTGTCTTACCCACCTCATCTCCTGTCACCAGGTAACTTGCCACCTGGACACAAGAGAGCAGGTTGACATTGTATACCTTGACTTCCAAAAGGCCTTTGATCTAGTATCCCATGATGCCCTCACTAGAAAATTGGAGAATTGTGGGCTTAACTCGGAGACAGTCAGGTACATGAGAAACTGGCTGCAGGATAGGACCCAGAGAGTCATAGTGAATGGATCTATCATCCTGGTGAGAAGTAGGCAATGATGTCCTGCAGAGGTCAGTGTTTGGTCCAGTACTTTTCAACATCTTTATTAACAATTTGGATGTGGGGTAAAGAGGTCACTGGCCAGGTTCATGAATGACACCAAGTTATGGGGAAGTGTGGTCACTCTTGAAGATAGCTACAGATACAGGCAGACCTAGACAGGCTAGCAAGTTGGACAGATCAGAATCTGATGAAGTTCAACGTTGCCAGATGTAAAGTGCTCCACCTCAGGACAAGGACCCCAGAACACACCTACAGGCTTGGGGGCACCAAACTGACTAGCACCATGAATGAAAGGGACCTAGGGGGTAATAATAGCCAGCAGTGAATATGAGCTCTCAGTGCGCCAGCAGGGCAAATAATACTCTGGCATGTATCAATCAATGCATCTCCAGCAAAACCAAGGAAGTGATTCTTCCACTCTACTCAGCAATGGTGAGACCCCAGCTGGAGTACTGCATCCAGTTCTGGGCACCACCCTTTAACAAGGAAATGGACAAGCTTGCGAGTTCAGAAAAGAGCCACCTGTATGATCACAGTCTTACATGGCAAGCCATACAAGGAAAGGCTGAGGGATCTGGGACTCTTCATCCTGAAGAAAAGAAGGCTGAGAGGAGACCTGTTAGTAGCTTACTGCTACACTAGGGGAGAACATCAAGGGCTTGATGAGCAACTGTTCACCAGGGCACCTGAAGGGAAAACCAGGAGTAATGGTCACAAACCCCTAGAAGACCGATTCAGGCTCAACATTAGGAAAAACTTCTTCACAGTTAAGGTGTCCAGACTGTGGAATAAACTCCCACCAGAGGTGGTGCAATCACCTGCCCTGGAAATCTTCAAGAGGAGACTGGACGATCACCTTGCTGGGGTCACCTGACCCCCAGTTATCTTTCCTGCTTGGTACAGGGGCTAGACCCAATGATCTTCTGAGGTCCCTTCTGGCCTTATTTCATAGATTCATGGATTGTGAGAGAAGCTAAAGGTGTGGCAGGATGTCAGTGAAAATGTAAATGTTTAGAAATTCGAAAGACAAAAAGTAAAGCAGAGGGTGAAGGGGTGGGGGGGAAGGCTGAAGGGAGACATTACAGTGATAGAATATAAGGTTGAAAAGAGACACTCAGTGAAAAAGAAAGTAGTAGGAGATCAGGAAAACAGGACTGAGAGAAGTTCAAGGTGTGAGAGGATGTAGTGAAAATATAAATGGGTAAAAAAGAGAAACAAAAGGTAAAGCTGGGAAGAGAGGGGGAAGAAAGCATGGGAAAGAAAGGCCAAAGGGAAATATTACAGGGTAAGAGAGCGGCTCTCAATGAAGAAGGAAATAATAGTAAATATAGCTGACATAAATTTTATATATTTGAGCTGCTTTATTCTAAAACTGAAACTTGCGGTAATTACTGTTTACAGTAAAGTCAGTACAATCTCTGGACTGTCCAGTGGGATTGAAGGGAGAGTTCCCTAAGACACTATCTGAAGATACATTGAAATAGAGTTAACTCCTTGCTGTGCCAAGCACTCTCAGCATTTCTATCTCATCTGCTGTTTTTCATCTGCTAAGAAAAGTAAAAAATTTTCTCTGAAAAAATAGTTTCTGTCATATATGTACGGTTGAATTCACTGTCTGTTTATCATAGGTTGCAGAAACGAGTGTATTTTTTTTTTTAATCAAAGCTTTAGCTGTATGCCTCTAAGTTGTTGCTTATTTTCATTTGCAGTTTATACTTGTTTTTATCCAGTGGTTTGAAATATATGCAATAGATATCCAGGAGTTTCTGAACTTACTACGAATTGATTCTTGGTTTGCAATTATTCAGGGTGCTACAGTACGCAATGAAATGGATTCTGTTATCATTAGTCGAATAGTGAAAGGGGGTGCTGCAGAGAAGAGTGGATTGTTACATGAAGGAGATGAAGTTCTGCAAATTAATGGTATTGAAATTCGTGGAAAAGATGTTAATGAAGTTTTTGATTTGTTGGTAAGTTTGTGGTTTTGTTTTTTCCTGTTATAATTTCTGGTCTGAACCTTTAAAATTGCTTCATCTACAAAAAGAATGTTGGATCTGAACTGCATATTTTTAGTTTCTTAGTCATTGACTTGAATGCAAAATATCTCTCCTGGCATCTCTGTTTAAAAAAAAAAAAAAAAATCATCAGAATTCAACCAAGTCATAGGTCTCCAAAAATCACAGTTTAGACATGCTTAATAGCATTTTGATAGGCTATGTCAACATTATTTTATTAAGATTTATCTGCAGAGAACTTTCTCTGTTCTTGGGTGAGTTCTATGAGCAAGTCTTATTTAAAGGATTAAACATTGTATAGTATAATTAAGGTCTGTATCATAATGTATGTGTTCAAAGGGCCAAGTTTTATTTGCAAATTTAATTCTCGCATTTCTGAACTTTTGAGTATCTAATTTTTCAAACTTAACATTTCTTTTAACATTGATTTTTATTCAAATAATATTTTTATGGTGTCTCAAGTCCAAAATTCTTAACAATTATTCACCAGTTAACCCTTACAGTGTGTATGGAAGATAAAGAAATGATTCTTTTAACAAGTAAAGAAACCTGAGACAGATTTAACAACACCTAGGCTGAATGGCAAACCAGTGTCACTCAGGATGTAATTTAAGAATTATATCCATGCTTGGCCCACATTCACTCTTGCGTTACTCTAATTAATGTTGGTTGCTGTCAAACATGCGCCGTTTCTAGAGGAATGAGTAGTATGAACAACCAGACATTCCAGGGTTCCTCCTTATGACAGTCAGAATTTACTCTTTATAGTCCTGGGTCTGTACGGGAATCATTTCAGCCTAAGTGGTGATATGATGCATCCAGTGCATCTCAAGTGTCTTGAAATGTGTGTGCTGTGCAGCCCTACAGACATAGGTGGCTTTATTGGAATTGCTGCTTGAAACAGTTGTGTACATTACTAAGGAGTCTTTTTCATCACAGGCTGACATGCATGGCACTCTGACATTTGTGCTGATTCCCAGTCAACAGAGCAAGCCGCCTCCTGCTAAGGAGACAGTTGTAAGTACTTTATACATAAACTTTAAATTGCTGATAAATGTGACTGTTTGTCTGGTTGGGTTTTTTTTCACCTAATACTCTGCAAAGAACTTTCTGGGTGATTTTACATTGGGAAATAGAAGATACTTAAATTGATTTAGACCAGGGTGTCAAAGACATGGCACACAGGTCAGATCTGGCCTGCAGAGATCCCTTCTTCTTTTATATGTGATGAGGCATGGCTGCAAAAGCCAAGTTGTTTGCCTCCTTTACAACTCCTTTCACATGCGATACTGGAGAGTTTTGCCTTATCTGTGGGCAGGCTCTGAGCTTTTCACTGTTAGCGCTCCTTTTGTGTAAGCCTTCCAGAACTCCTTCAACACAAACATTCTTGGCCTTAAACAGGAGCATTAGTGTCATGCCCTATCTGTGTCATAATATATGCCCAGGCCAGTTCCTTTTTGACAGCCTCTGCAGAAGAAGCACTTTCCTGTGATCAGTCTTTCCTTGTTCTGCAATACTTGATAGCCTATTTTTTGCCTGTCTTTAGCTAAATTCTTTATTAATTTGGCTGATGGGCTTGGGCTTTACATGCATCCGATGTCTTCGTAAGTGTTACCATGCATTTTCTACTTCATCCAGTTTAGGATGCTCTGGTGTTTGGACAACATACTGTTAGCACATAGGTCTGTTTAGTCTCAGCACATCTTAAATTCTTGTTCCAGTTATTTTTGGTATCTCCTTGCTTTTAGTCATCTGAACCTACAGTTCTCTGGTATGTGGGTATTTTGCTAGTCATTTTCTTTAACACTGTATTATGTTTTCCTTAGTTTGCTCTCCTTCTGAGATTCATACACTTTTGCCTGGACAGTTTGACCAGGCCTACCTGGTCAGTGGATGAGTGGTTTCCAAGCTGGCTGATGTTTTCTCAGAAAAGGGAAATACCAGGAACTCAGGAAGATTATCCAAGAGAGTTTAGATTTCATGTCATGTTAACTGTGGATAGTCTTTGGTGTTGAATATGGTGGCAACAGCTGCTGCTTTGGATGAATACTTTCAAGTCATCTTGGCTCCAAGCATCTAACTCCTGCCCAAAGTAGAGAATCAACTTAGGAACCTGCTGTAAGCCAAAGAGAACATGCTTGGGGAGCATGTGAAAATTAGTGTAGTCATACTGGGATCTTTGCACAAAGCCCCAAGGTCGCTGCAGGAGTGGAGAGTCCCGGGGCTTTTCTCCGTTTTTTTTTTTTTTTTCTTTCTTAAAGGGCCAGAGCCACAGTGGGCGAGGTAGCCATGCAGGGGCTGTGGGTGGGGGGGCGGTTAGGAGGCTAATATAGAGCCCCCCATGCAGCATAGGGCAGTGGGGGGGCAGCAGGGATGTTCCCTCTGCACCGCCCAGCAGCACCCAGTAAGTACCGGGACTTTTCTTTAAAGGGCCGGGAGCTGAATTGGGCGGGGCAGACATGGGGGGTCGGGGGAAGCTTCAAATCAAATCTTTTCCAAAGATTTAGAGAGCTTCAAATCGATTCGGACCTTTTAATTGGTCCCCTGATACGATTTGGATTCAGAGATTCAGCCACTGAATCGGGCCGAATCTCCTCCAAATCGAATCACCATCCAAAGCTTCACACAGCCTTACTTCTTACCCTCATTTCCAGTTTCGGAACTTGCCCCAAACTGGCCACACCATATTTTTACCATAGTGTCTGTCTAATGTTCCTTTCTCTATGCAGATGAAATTATTCATTGCAATGTTTCACTTCATTATTTACTAGAGTTAGATGCTGCTCTTTCCAAAAGAGGCCCATGGTGGCTCTTTGTCAGACTCGAGATTGAATAATGAAATTTCAGCTTGCTATGTTTTTTTTTTTATTGCGTTTGTTCCTTGGACCCCTTGCAACCAGTAGGAACAAACATTTTGGGAAAATTAATTCTTGGAACTCTCATACGTTTTTTGCTTTTATTTTTGTATCTCTTGTTTCCTAGATACACGTGAAAGCACATTTTGATTATGATCCTTCTGATGACCCATACGTCCCTTGCCGAGAATTGGGCCTGTCTTTTCAAAAGGGAGACATACTCCATGTGATCAGTCAGGAAGATCCAAACTGGTGGCAGGCCTACAGAGATGGAGATGAAGACAATCAGCCTTTGGCAGGCCTTATCCCGGGTAAAATGCAGCATGATTGAAAATCTAGATCTACAGAGATTTTGGAGTATCCTGAGAGACCAGCATTTTTAGACAGTCAGATATTCTGAACTGGGACTGGTTAAATGTCTGTTTGTCATTCAAACCTTTTTTTGAGCAAAAAACACCAACTTTGATTTTTTTGTTACTTTCATAGTCAATAACAGTTGCCTTTTCAAAAAGTAGATTTTAATTGTTTTTACAAACGAGTGTCCATGGGAGTAGACATTAGCCAGATACTTGCTCATTTCAGCAGAAAGCAGCCTCTAATTTTTCCCCTCTTCCAAGAGTTCAGAATTCCCTCTGCTGGTTGCTTCTTTAGCAGCACTGCACTTTAACAATAGTTTACTCTGCCTTTATTTGGAAGAGCAAATTTAGACTAGCTAAATGATGAAAAAAAAGCAGATGATATTCTCCTTTGACTGACCTCTGCGTGAACCCAGTTTGACTCTCAAGTCATGGCTGATTTTGTAGCACTGGAATATAGTAAGCATTTTTTTTATATGCAAACTGGGCATATTTAATATAGAGCTATTTGAGAACTGAAGCCTCAAAATGCCTCTTTATAATCAGGTTTCAACACAGAACTTCTCAGATTGGTACTTTTTGAGGGGTATGAGTTTGGATCACTACAGAAAACACTACAATTTTCTGAGTAACTTTCTTCTGAAAGTGTCTGCATGGTATTTCCCAAATAATTGAATCTTACCATTTAAGAATCATAGAAGTAAATAACCTTACTTCCAATATTGTACATTTTAGACAATACTATTTTAGTTGTTTCATGCAAATTCATCTTGTTTTTATTTTAATTTTGAAAATTTATCTTAATACTTCATTTATCATGAAACTGAAGCCATAGAATGTTGTTTGCCATAAACCCCATAAAATTTAAAGTTTTCTGAATTTATTATCATACACCATGTCCTATTTGAGACTTGTCAGGTTTGGAGGTATGATAACAGTAGTGAAATTGAGATGTGATTCTTAAAAGAAAATTGGTATTTTACTTGTCAATAGAAATAAGTATGGCTTCCCATTTTAACTGCTGTTGTACATTTTTTTTTTTTTATTCGTGAAGGAAAGAGCTTTCAGCAGCAAAGAGAAGCAATGAAGCAAACTATAGAAGAAGACAAGGAGCCAGAAAAACCAGGTTTGGAAGTACACACTCTAAATCAGGGGTGGCCAACCTGTGGCACAAGCAGCTTGTGTATGTGGCACAAAGCAGATAGTAGATAGGACAGGGAGCAGAAAGCAGAGCAGTAGATTGGGTTGGGGAAGGGAATCAGAATGGCATTTGTGGCACACCTACCTGAAAGGTTGGACCCCACTAAACAAAAAACTCTGACTGTGATGTCTGGAGCCTTGTCTAGATTGAGATTTATAGGGAATTCTCTCCCTGTTGATCTTGTAGAGGTGGGATAATTCTCTGAAATTCTTGTTTTAGGTAAAGATTTGGGGTGTCAGCTGGTTTATGTTCTCATAGCTAAGCAGATGCTGAAATTATTCAGGAATGCTTAGAGGTTGACCCTCAGTATTTCTAAACTGAATTGATTCTACTCTTTCTGGTTTGAAGATCAGGACTGCAATAGTAAGAGACAAGTTTTAAAAGAAAACTTCTAAAAATCTACATATTCCACCTGTGATCACCTTAATTAGACAAAATTGGGTGAAAGCCAAGTCAATTCAACCATCAAAAGATGATTGTAACAACTGCCCTACATGAAGGGGCAGGGAGTTTAAGAATATTAGAGAGATCAAATAATACAAGTTTATAGATAGTTGAGGCACAAAACAAGAGTCAAGAGTTTTTTAATAGTAGGAAATGTAAAGGATTTTGGAAATGGGGAGGATAAGCAACAGGTTTTGTTGGATATATTGGTTAAGGGAGAAAAATGTGTTAGAAAACTGCATGTTGTGGTCGGTGTTAGTATTGGATTTTTTTTAGAGATACAAGAATAAGTTTTATGTATCAAATCACAGAAAGGACAGAAAGGATATCTTATTTCTTAATTAAATATTAACTGCATAAGAGATTTGAAAAACAGAATGTATGCTTTTACTTTTTAGGTATGCAGGGAGAGAAAATGCTTTTTTTTTATTTATAGAAATGTGACTTGTGATTTTATTTTAACCAGGAAAGCTCTGGTGTGCAAAGAAAAATAAAAAGAAACGGAAAAAGGTTCTGTACAATGCCAATAAAAATGATGGTAAGTAGCCACCTTGACATGAAGTGTTTACCATTGCAGAACAACTACAGAAAAATCGTGGCATGATGTATAATTTTGGTGTAAAATGGAGGTTGTTTGGAATTATCTAATAAAGTGTCCTGGACAGTCAGTTATGACAAACCAATCTATTATAGCATCTATAAAGTTGGTCTCTGTTATTCCTAATGTAGTAATCATTTCAAAGTCAATAGATGAGAATGAAACCATGCTTCCAGAAACAATTTCTTATAGTTAAGTTTATACTGTATTCCTGCAAAGGACTTTGGAATTTATGGTATACATTTATGTGGAGCAAAATCTGATAAAAATTCACATTATTGTCTATAATTATTAAGATCAGGAAATAATTGCCAAATGAAGATGTCTTTTGTGTTTTGCTGTAAATGTAGTAGGCTTATCAAGAAACCCAGAGGTTTCCCAACCACCAGGCCCAGTACCGGGCCACGAAGGGTTGGCCGCTGGGTCATGGCACAAGCGCCCCACTCAGACCCCTGTCTGTCAACCTGGGCAAGGGGCTTCTGCCGCTGGCAGTCTTGCGGGGTTAAAGCTGGGCAGTGGGGCAGCCCCGGGAGGGAGGCAGCTGGCTCCATGCACCCCATCCCACTCCTGCTGGTCCACAATATAAAAAAGGTTGGGAACCACTGAGTAAACCTGTTGCCTGGCTTGTGCCATTACTTGTCAATTGGGCCTGGTAATAGAGTGGCGGCAGCACTCTTCCTTACCACAAGGATAGAAATTGCTACACACAAACAAATCTGAACAGATAAACAGAGTGGAGGTGAATTGATTCAGATGTTAGCCAGAGGGCTGGTACAGTTCTCTCAGGCTCCTGGCGCACACTCATTTAGCAGTGTAACAGGATCTGATCACCAACTCCAGCAATCACACATCCTACCATGCCATACATGCATGGCAGGAGGCATAGTTTTTGGATCAGGGATCAGATTCCAGTCATGCCCTTTCTACTTGCTAGTGCAAGGGAACCCAGGATCATGATCCTGGGCTCCCCCTGCACTGACAGGTTGAAAGCCAGGTGCTCACAACTTCACATGTGAGACTGTGGGTGGGCACCTCTGTGCCCTGTGAAGGCAAGAGGAGGGAGCCAATTGGCTTCCCCCAACACAGAAAGTTTAAGACCAGCACCCACAGTCCCACATGCAGGCTCTAAGAGCTGCTGGGGACCTGGGGCTGATGCCAGTAATCAGCTGATTGTTGGCCCATAGCAGGTTCAAGACCCAGGGCAATCGGGCTGGGGCTGACAGTCAGCTGAATGTCAGCCCAGGCACCAGAAAGTCCTGGGGTTTTAGAAAAACCTGTGGTTTTCAGACATCCCAATGTCCCCGGACATCTAAAAACTGTGTGCAGCCCAACTCCTCTCAACCCAGCATTTTAAATGCCTTGTCCCACAGCCTCTGTGGGTACTGCAGGGCAAAGCCAGAAATGCTGCCAGGCATAGTGGTTGCCAGGTCCCCCCTGCAAGGGAACCTTGCAACCCACTCCCCTAGCAGCCCATTTTGGCATTGGGACCAGGGCTGTCCCAGTCCCCATGCCAATTCCTGTCCTGATGCTAATGCTGATAATCAGCTGATTGTTAGCATTGGGACAGGAGCATGCTACACATTCAATTTATGGTACCATACAAACGAGCCACAAAGATGTTCCACATATGGAACATCTTTCGTGGCTGATTTGTCACTTTATGGTGCCATAAATTGGCTGAACGTGTAGCACTGTTACTAACATGTTAATCGCACCAGAAGTGTAATATGTGCCGGGGACCTCAGACTCAAGCATACAAAAGGCACATACAGTGAGAGGGGAAGAAAGAATGGGTTTCCTTAAGCCCATTATAGCAAGGAAACTTGTGGCAGACAGTGCTGCTGTAATGCAGCAATAGCATCAGCTGTGATAGTGCCTTATAACATTTTCACATTTTTTTTTCCTTTTCTCTGAAGATTATGACAATGAGGAGATTTTGACTTATGAAGAAATGTCACTGTATCACCAGCCAGCAAATAGGAAAAGGCCTATTGTTCTGATTGGTCCACAGAACTGTGGCCAGAATGAACTGCGCCAGAGATTAATGAATAATGAAGCAGATCGTTTTGCAGCTGCAGTTCCTCGTAAGTCTACAGGGTGTAGTGTAACCCCTAACTACTGTAATCTGCAACTAAATAGTCTCAGGCTGACAGGCAAGGTTAGGAATTTTGCAAGCTGGACTGAGTAAAGTTAGCACTTGCTAAACAAAAAATAGTAAAGAAACAGTGAAGAGAAATCTTCTGAAAGAGAATGGCTTTGGTGAATCTGTTATTGACCTTAATGTCTCAATAAAATGTTAAAGGAATGCTGGAGCAAGTCCATGTTTATCAGATGGGACATAACATTAGGATCACATGCCCTCATTTAAAAAAATTTAAAAAGGCGCATTTCCCAGAACTACTCTTAACCTAGGTGTCTGGGCTAAATTCCAATTAAAGTAACTGTACTGTGCCTTCTTTAATTTCCCCTGGAGTTTCCATTGAATATATAATTTATGACATAGTGGAGGATACCACAGTATTTCTTCATTCTGTTGGTTTTCAGCCAAATGCAGCTGTATGAGTGAAGTGATTTCTTTTCTAGTTGGTAAAGTGTTTTTGGCTCCTCTGGGTGACAAACTCCACCTGTGAGATTGGTCTGCAAATTCAGCAGGTGTATATGCCCAGAGATATCACTGGAGATATCATTGTTGAAAAGAAAATATGTGCCTGTAAGTAGGTTGGCTAGCTTTCTGGCTTCTGCAGGCAGCTTTTGCTTCCTGAGGAGCTCCTCAGCTAGTCCTCCCACTAAAACACAGTCCTTAAGCAGCAAAACAAGGAAACAAAACTGAGCCACTCTGCACTGTCCCAGGCACTAGGAGGGTAGCCCTTGGCCTTTGCCCAGCACAACAGCCTTGGTCTCTCCTGGTAGCAAGCTTTTTTGCTGACAACTTACTTCTTCCTCCCTCCCTTCCAGTCTGGGAGCTTTTTAACACTCCTAGCAGAACACTCCCTGTCTGTGGGTCATTTGGATAGGCAAGCTATCTCAAAAGGTTCGCCTGTTTCCTCTTACAGGGATAGACCGCCCTGTTACACTGGCCATTTTTCCCCACTGGATAGTGCACAGTAATGTAGTACAAAAAAAAACAGTTTTACTCCAAAGCTATTTGGAATTTCAGAAGTACACTTTTTTCATAATTCCTTTTTGGTTCTTATTTTCAGATACCACTCGGAGCAGGCGAGAGAATGAAGTAGCTGGCCGTGATTACCACTTTATTTCAAGGCAGGCATTTGAGAATGATATAGCTGCAGGGAAATTTATTGAATATGGAGAATTTGAGAAGAATCTTTATGGTACCAGCATAGATTCTGTGCGGCAAGTAATCAACTCTGGCAAGATATGCCTTTTAAATCTTCATACCCAGGTACACCAAGAGCTGTTATTGCACATTGTTGGATTTTTTGGCCGGTGTTGTAAAAACTGAAAATATAAAAGTGCTGTGAAGGCATATGAAAGAACTATATTTGGTACAAGTAATTCTGCACTGGTGACCTGTGTGAAATGAACTCAGTTTATTAGCCCATGTATGTTCAGTCTTTTTAGACTGTGAGGGGCCCTTCTAACAAGGTATTTGGTAGTCAGGAAACAGGGAACTGATATCCACAGCCTGATCTGTGGATAGGGGAGCTTCAGTCTCCAGAACACTGCCCTTCTTGCCCTTTTCCTCAGAGTTCTGTTACTCTCTGGAGTCTAAAGTAGTTTAGGGCTATACTTCACAACCTCAGCTCTCAGTGTTGTAAGGTAGTGCCTAGGCAGTTCCTACTTGGCAGAGCTACAGATGGATTAAATGCACCAATGTTCTTTTTTTTTTAACTTTATATATTAACATCCAACTTGCCAAGTCACAAATTTTACATTTAAAATGCATCCAATCCCCTAAAATATATAAAGGCAAATATCTATCTTCCATTGCTTGTGCTCCCTTAAGAACTTTAGTGACAGGCATCTCCCGTTTAGCACTCTTAACTGGTCCCTGAAAAGCGTTAAGCGAAATGAGCATTAAGTGAAACTGAAAATATTTGATGATCCAAGATGGCAACTGCAAGTGTTTTTAATGACCCAAGACGATGACTGCGAACATTATAATGAAACTCATTGAGTGCTAAGTGAAATCAGGCATCAATTTAAAATGAGTGTTATAGCAAAATAGAGCTAAGTGAAACAGCATTAAGCAGGGGTTGCCTGTACTGGTAACTTGTTAGTCTGTGATACCTTAAAATTATAGTGCATACTTGGAGAACAACGTGCATCAACAAACCCCATGTTATATAACGAGCCTTTCTGCCACAGTCCAATGGAGGGCCATGAGTCAGAACTACACTGCTGTCATTGTAGAACATAGGATTCGCTAGTCATGAACCAGAACCCCTTTGTGTTAGATACTGTACAAATGTGATGGCCCTTGCTCCAAAGAGTTTGCAGATGAAGACTTAGGGATCTATGGAATGATTAAATAACTCAAGGAAGGGGAAATTAATTTAAAATGACAGAGAATTTTGATTAGAAAAGTAGCTCTCTCTCTTGACTGGTAATACTGGTTGCTATAAGTAATGTATATTTTTTCAGTCATTTACCAGACTCTTTTTTAATATAGTTACAGTAGACAGAACTGGTAATTTTTAAATAGCATGAAGAATTGCACTCTTTTATTTAACAATTTTGGACAAAAGCAAAAAAGATATGTCAGTGAATTTTATTCATACAATTTTGTTATTATGTCAGTGTTATTTTACACAGTTACTCAGTATTTGTTAAATGTGTCTTAAATTGGTGTTCCTTGAACTAATTAAGTATGAACAAAGAAAAATCACAACTGTGTAAATTACCAAACAATAACTGTTTCTGTTGTTTCTTGTTTTAAAAACATATACATGTGAAGAGCTTTTATATCTGCTTTAACTGTTTTAAAAGGTCATCATTTATGTTTAGCATCAGTCCCAAAATGTGTGTGCACGTACACACCATTCCACAGAAATGTAAGGGATGGGAAGAACTCAAAACAAGTAACAAAGGTTAATAAAGTCAACTTCATAATATGTTATGAGCCTGATAAGTAATCTCACTTTGCAGATCAAGAAACTAAGTCACAGAAGCCTTTTGAGCGCCAGTAGTAGAATCCATTTCTCCTGACTCAGTGTCCTTTGCTCTTTTCATATAACTATGCAAAATGAATGTTTGATATGCTACTAATGAACCTGTTTTGCCTTGGAAATAGTATATAACCTTAAACAGAAAAAAAAAGTTAGTCATTATTTAAGTATGAATTTTTTAAGCACATGATGGAACACACCTTACAACTGAGAACTAGATGTGGAAAAACTGCAGACGTAGCTTCAGGTTATTTTTTTGTATTAAAGACTTGAAAAATGTAAATTTCAGTCAGTCTATTGACATGTTTCAGTTCTGCCAAATTTATTTTGGTCAGGACTGTTCTTATCTTGCTAAAAGGAACATTCTTGAACAAGAATAAATATTGGAGTTCCCTAAGGGTGAAAATACCCATCACATAAGAAATGGTAAATAGCAGTAAAGTCAGTGATAATTAGGGGCATCATGTTGCCAAGCAAGAATGTAGCTATTAGTGAATGCTACACATAAAAATAAATTCTCAAAATTCATAGCCAGGTATATTAGCAGTAGAATTATATTAACATTTGATAATATTATATGAACTAGGTGTCATTGCCCACTTTTCCTTTAGAAACTTAGTTAATAGTATTTATTTTTTAAATAATAAACAGCACAAATGTGTTTTTTCCTTCAGTCATTGAAGACCCTACGCAACTCTGACTTGAAGCCATATATTATCTTTATTGCACCACCTTCACAAGAGCGGCTACGTGCATTATTGGCCAAAGAGGGTAAAAATCCTAAGGTAATGAACAGTAGTAATTTAAATATTTATTACAAAGCAGTTTGGGGCTTTGTTGGCAAGTGTGGAGCTGAGTTTTTCAGCACAACTTCAAAAGAATTCAGCATAAAACTATTGCTCATCATTATCTAAAACATATATGAAAATTTGTGGTAACCAAGAGAATTATATTGTAAATATCTGTTGCAGTGGAAAGGTTAGACTTACTGAAATAAGCAGGAAGGTCAAAGGTCCACTTGAGCCTGTAGTCCCTTTGAGCTAGTTTTGTTAAGGCACATCAGTTTCTGCAGCCAACAGCACAGAAGGTTAGCGTTGGTTCAGGCTGCCTTTGATTCCCCAGTCTGAATTACCCAGTTCCCATCAACAGCTGGGTCAGTTGGAGGTGGTCTTTGGCATCAGTCCAGAGCAGGACTTGGATTTGCATTTCATGAAGCCATAATGAGATACACTAACCACTCTGCCACCACACTTCTCAGTGAGACCATGCTGTCTAGGAACTCCTCGTTGACTATGCATCTGAGGGTGAAGTTACACATCACACTTAGACCATACTAAGAACCCTTAAAACAGGAGCCTCCACATACCAAAGCTTGTTAACCTGTGCTGAGCGCCCTCTGAGCATCTCAGTTACGCCACTTCAGGCAAGGATTAACTCTGGGCTGTGCTACCTAGTTCACGTTAGGGTAACTTCAGTCCGCTCCATGGAGATAAAGTAAGTAATCTGTAGTCCTCCAGCATCCGAGGATGCACTGCTTCCAGTCTCCCCCAACTCCCAGAGCAGGGATAGAGACCAGCTGACCTGGCTCCTAGCCATGCCTCTGCTTTCCAGCCATCTAGTGGCAAGTCAGAGCTGTGCAGGTAAGAAAAAGTATTAACCCCAAATGTGCAACTGCTCACAGCAATTTCTGACTTCAACACTGCTTAACATTCCACAGATTTAGTATGATCCAAGTGTAATCTGTACCTCCATACTTATATGGGACAGAGAATCCAAGTGGCCAGCTTAATATTTCTACAGCTGATATATCTTTTTTCTGTCATTTTCCTTCAGTAATAGAAATCTAAATCAAAACAAGAAACTGAGTATTGTACTATCTCATTCTCTGCCCACTGTTCTGCATCACTTGATGGCATCACTTGATGGCAGTGACTTTCTTTGGAGCCTAAACATCTGCCTTTTACCCTGGGTTCAGTTCCTGTTTTAGTTCTTTCATCCTTCCAGGCAAAGGGGTCATGCTTTTAGGTATTTAACGCCAGAGCTGTAGGTGAGCCACCATTTAAAAATATTTGGAAATGTGGTAAGCAGGCTTTAGCTACAGCTTTTGTGCTCAAAAACAAGCAAAGCAATAGAAGCAGAAATTCAAATTTTACCATAGCTAATAAAGGGCAGGTATTGATTGATACTTCAGTTCTAACCAGTTGTCTTTCCTTCTCTTCCCTCTTGTCTTTTTTTTGCAAATCTTAGGCTCCTATTTATGATTGTATATACCCCAAATATGCCTCAAAATGCCACATCATATCTGAATTGCAGAAGTAACTCACTGAACAAACAGATAGGATGCTATTTTTGCATTATTCAAACATTTGAAAGTGTCTGTAGCTTGTGGTAAGACAAATATACTTTCCTTTGGATCTTTGTTTCAGGAACTTTACTACTACATACCACATCAGCCATTGAAAAGACATTCTAGTCCATTCAGTCTGAACTCAAGCTACAATAGAAAATGCTAGTGCATGCCACTGCACAAAGGGATCAGTATGTGGTACACCAGTTGCATAACAACATGACATTCCTGAATGAAAATTAGGGAGCAAACTGTGGCTAAGCCAAGGCTTAGTATTTTATAGGCAGTCTATTGTGTTTTTTGAAATCTGATGTCAAATTCAGATTATCGTAGGACTGCCTCTATTATTTATTTTAATACCTCTTTTTGTTTAATTTTAAATAATAAAAGTTACACAAAATATAAAGGAAATAAATAGTTTCAATTATAAGTATTTGGAGATGTTGCAAGCACAATCGCTGTGCTAAATGTTTGACCCTGAGTGGAAAGAATTCTGACTTATTTAAACAATTATTCTCCTGTTCACAATCCAGACTGGTTTGCTTTGTGATTGGACTCTGTCTGGTGGACATTTCAGGACAAAGTTAGTGAAAGAGCTCATTTGAACAACATGAATTGTAGTAGAATTGAATGCAAGTCGCACATTGTGGAACAATGAACAAATTGACAAGAGGAGCATCTATTCTGCAATATAGTGGCAATGAAAGGAATTTAAGAACCATGATGAATAACCAGTGGACCAAAAGCATAAGCATCTGTAGACATGTCTGAAGTGAACATAAGCATAAGCGTTTTTCCACATAAGCAGAAAAATGCCAAGTAGGAAGATTATATCAGCTATTTATACAGAAATAGTGGAACCATTACTGAACCATTGTGATCAGTTCTGGTGTCCACACTTCAAAAAGGATGTTGAAAAATTGGAGAGCATTCAGACAGGAGAATTAACAGCTGAAGATCTGGAGGCATATCAGAGAGTGGCCAAAACTCAAACTAAGTATTTTATCCAAGAGAAGGTTAAAAAAGAAGTGCCTTCATAATGGAGTATGAGTACATACATGGGGAAGTGCTTTCTGATGGTAGATAGCTCTTTAATCAGCAGAAAAAGGCTTGTTCTGGATTTTCCATTCCTTGTAATCTTTAAGTCAAAACTGTATTCTTAAGAGATCTTAAGCTGAAGTAGAGGTTATGAATTCAATGCAGGAATTAGTGGATATGGTTCTGTGGTCCAGGTTCTACAGGAGGCCAAACCAGGTCATACTGTAATCTATAAAAGACCCTTTTAACACCCTATAAAAGAGATTGGTGTGATATTTTTAGTCGAGTTTTAATAACAGTAGAAAAAGGGGAGATTAGCCCAAAAAAGGCTTTTGGTTTGAAATGTCTTACAGATCTGTTTCTCTAGGCTCTTCCTCTCTATTCACTCTTTATTCTATTGTTGTTTCCTTTCCCTTGGTACTTTTTTTGTAAATCAAGAAGACATCCTCTGAGTAGTGATAATACATTTATTTTATGTTTGAGCAAGGTTTTCGAAACATTTTGAAAGATTTTATGTATCTAGTTGAACACACGCATACAAGAGCTGCATATAGGCATATAACAGTCTGGCCCTCTGTTTCAAAGGTATATGAAGAAGATGCTTTTGGATTTCCCACAGTTTAAACACAACTGAGTCTATCACAGAGATAAGGGAGTAAATTTTTCACTTGGCACCTAAATACCACTCAGAAAGTACCCTGATGAAAGTTTGCGCCAGGTACCTTCAGGGATATTTGTTTAAATAATGAATATGTTTTCAATGTACGTTTTTCAGAATTAAGAAAAAGGATATTACTTGACCTTCCATGGGAAGTTTTTATGTTCCAGCAGGGTTTCGAAATGGTTGTATAAGATCTCAACAGATCCATACCGGACTGTTTCACCAAGCCAGAAGTTAGATCTCTAAAATAGAATAAGACTTGGAGACTTGATGAGGGAACCTGAAAGCTAAGAGAAAAGCTTTCCAATAGTTACTGGGTACTTTTAAGCACATATATTTCATAGACATTAGGGCTGGAAAGGACCTTGTGAGATCATCGGGTCCAGCCCCAACGCAAGGGGCAGGAAGTCAGCTGAGGTCAGATCACCCCAGCAAGATAAGCATCCAAGGAGGTTGCCCCCTTCCCTCCTTTCTGCTCCATGTGTCATTGGGTTTCTAAGCCTCCCCCAGAGGTGCTGGCTGCAGCCCAGGCTAGGGAAGGGGGCTGAGCTGTGCCAGTGCTTCTGCTGCTTAGCACCCCCTGTGATGGCATGGTAGACATGGATGAGAGCTGGCAGGGCTTCATCAGGACCATGTGAGCCTTTGGTCCTCTCTGAATGTGACCCCAATGAAGAAGCACATCAGGCAACATTACCAGCCAGGAAGGCCTCACGGATGGACTTTTTTGGGACAGAGGCTTTGTAGCAGCTCCTTGTCAGCCTGGCTGGTTTCAACCACCGAGCTACCAACAGGAAGCCTGGGATGGCCCTGCAAAATGCTGCTAGCATAGAAATGTGTATTGTAAAGCTAATTCAGTTTGGTTCTTCACTTTTAATGTTAGTGAATAATCTTCAGCTAGACTATACTGGAAGCACTTTGCCTGTATAATTATGCCCGTAATACTGTATGGCAAAGCAATCCCATTATGAATACATCTACCAACAAGAGTCTTGCCAGTATAACTGTATCATACCAGGGACTTTTGCTAGCCAAGCTACACCAGTCCAAGGGTCACTCATTTCACCGGTGATCAACCAAACCAGGAAACATATGTTGATTTTAAAATTCTGTTGTTTGTTGTCATTTACTTTCCCTCATAATTAATCTTGTTTCCCACTGTTTTTGCATTTTTTTAATTGGCAAATATTGCATATTCGCTAATAGGTTGAGATGCAAGTCTGCTTGATGTTGCAGGCTAAGCCCATTGAGGGTAAGAGCTTGCTTAGGTGCTACAGAAAGTAATGTAGGAAGGATTCACTACACAGCACTCTTCCATTGACCCGGTCTGGTATGAGGTACTGAACGTGACCCTTGAAGCATTAGAAATGCTAATGCTAGAAAATGTTTTTGTCAGATTCAGATTCAAATTATTACATTTTCTCTCTTTCTCAGTTCCCACTGCCATTTCAGGTGGATCTGGCATTCATTATACTCCTGCTGAGCAGTTACGCAAGGCTGATACCTTTCAGTGTTGAATAAAATAATTGCGTGCTTAGTTTTTTGTCACAGTAATTTAAAAAGCATTTGGGATGGATGTGGGTATAGTGTATTGCTGGTGGTGGGAAAGTGAGAATATTTTTTTGGTTACAAACCATTTCCATCTTTAATGGCCCAGTTGGGGATTACATAACAGGAATTATTTTTTTGGTTTGACAGAAGTTCCCACTTTCTTCCTTCCCCCAGGAAATACTTGGGGTAGTGGATTTTTTTTTTTTTTTTTTTTTTAAACTAAAGCCCAACAAAGTTCAGGCTTAATCTGCAAAACTCGGGCTAATTTAAAAATCCCATTTACTAAGTATTGTAGTGAAATAAGTATCTGCTCTCTCGTGCAATCTTTCTGGCTTTGCTACCTCCGCTTCCACTGCCTTGAAAGTGCCTTTTCCATTTTTCCTGAAATATGTATTCAGTGTTGAGATGATTCCTTCAGTTTGCCTTGTGTGGCTTTTACCTTGTTTCTCACTATAGTTGTCTGGTCCATTCCCTAGACATTTTCAGGGGAGCATATTTTAAGTGACAGCTGTTATCTTAAACTGTGGTGTAATAACTTGTTGCATGTGTTGTGTTACACCTGCAGAGTTGTGTTTTTTTTTTTCTTTCTGTAACTGAGTTCACATTTACATATAAACAAAGTCATTGTGACAGTATTTCAATATCACTTGTTCTTCTTGTTGAAAGTTGGTGGATTTAGGAAATTGTGTCATTGTTGCCCCTTACTTCAGATGAAATACTTTCACGCTCACTTCCTTCAGAGGCAGTCGCATGCTGAACAGTGCATTGCAGTGTTCATTCTATATTTTTCTTTGCATTCTCTACAGATATCTTTACTCAAAACTGCATCAGTTTAATGAGGCAATAAGACTTAGTGTGACCAGCAGCTTTCCCTCTAAGCTGCACAGCCGCACAGGCACTCCTGACAGCGCAGCACGAGCATGACTAACATGGCCACTCACGCCACACAGCGTAGAGGGAACACTGGTGACCAGTGGGGCTTCCTGACCAGTTGCTACTAAAGACTTCAGAGTCTTTTTAAAGCACATACTACAAACTTCTTTACATATAAGGAGTTCTCAAAACATGCAGAAATATCTGATGCCTTTCTTCCCGAATCAGATTTGCCAATGTAATGGAGAGCTGTATGGGAAATATAAGAACTTTTTTATTCAAGTACTTTTGTGCTTTCTTCAATGATTCTAGATGGAGGTATGTGATATGTTCGTATGTTTGCAGTAATTCAATTTCTCTTGCATTCTCATTACAGCCAGAAGAACTAAGAGAGATCATAGAGAAGACCAGAGAGATGGAGCAGAACAATGGACACTACTTTGACACAGCAGTTGTGAATTCTGATCTGGACAAGGCATATCAGGAGCTACTTCGACTAATAAACAAACTTGATACAGAACCTCAGTGGGTGCCATCCACCTGGTTACGATGAAAATGAACAATTCCAAGGGAAGAGAGAATTTCTCTCTGGCAATCTGTCAGAGTGAGATTGTGCAGATTGTAATATTAGGTGGCAGTGTGAGCTCTAGACCTCTATGGTTGCACCCCTTGATAGTGTATTTGTGAAGAAACATCCAATAGGCAGCTTGTAAATAGAAAGATTAACTGAGTGTTTGAGTTTTCTTCTCCTCTTTGGACTGTAAGTGGAAACTGCAAACAAGCCAGTAAAGTTTCTAGACCTTAAGATATCCTTTCTATAAGCTGCTTTAGACATAATAAATGCACCTATTTTCTACTTAAAAATCACCTTACTTTAAAGAGACTTTAAATGTGTATATATTCAGTCCATATGGTCACAGTTATAAATATTGTTATTTAACACTTAAGTTAATTATCTTGTGGAACACGATGCGAGTTTGAGCATATACCTTTTGGGTAGAGGAATAATATATGCAAGAAATTACAGTTGTATTAATTAGGAAAATCTTCCCTTAAAAAAATAAAGGTGCCACTTGGGTCTGGAGCTGCCCTGTTAGGCTTGAATTTTTTTAAATGAAAAATGACATTCCAATTTCTAATAGCACTGTACTTTGATAAATGTGTATAATGTAAATATTTCACCTTCTTTGGTCTTTTTAGTCAAACTTTGTAAATCACACTTGACTGCACATTAATTTTAGGTCCAATGAAAGATGAAAATATACTGATCTTTTTAGATGTGATATTTTTATGGAATTTTTTTCTTTAAAGCATATCAATTGATTGGAGGGTCTTTGTTCCCCACAGATCTGTAGAGCTATTTAGAAGGCAGAGGTTATATTTTTATGAAAAAATAATCGTTATAAAACATGCTGATTTTTTTTTTTTTTTTTTTTAATTCTTCCTCAGTGTAAACAGTTCTCGAGTTTCTAACAAAAAGGTTACTGACTAAATAGGATAATGTGATGAACGTTGGAAGATTGTCTTCTATTTTTGTATGGACATGGTGGCTGCTTACAGATGTGGCGGAAAAAAATGTACTTTCAGCTAGGTGTACCGCACAGTGCATGTCCAAAAGAGGCATTATGTTAGTTTGACAGGCTCACCTGTCTATATAGATCAGGCACTTCAGCAGAGCTTTTTGGCACTTGAATTGGCTTTAGATAAAAGAACCAAAAAGTCCAACTGAAATTCCTGATCCATACAGACGCTGGGGAGCTAGATTAAACTAGTGCACTTCCTCTTCCGGTAAAGTGTTGTTGGCTTTTTTTAAGAGGGTGTGGGGGGTCCACATCTGTCAGTGGCTGGTATGTTTTGTTGACTGTTGGTTACTAACTGGAATTTAAATTTGCTGAATGTAGCTGCTGAGTAATGTAAACCAGTATTTAATTGACCAGTAAGTTACTGTTCTGCATTTGCTCAGTATTGCAGTAAAACTGAGTGTAAAGCACTGGCAACTGACTTAGAAGTCACATAGAAGGGGAATTTTAAAAAACCGCCAAAAAAAGGAAGGGGGAGAAAGAACTCGAGGAACAGAAATGTAATATAAGGTCTACGTTCTACCATATTCTGCCAACTAAGATCAGAATGTTCCTACACCCTGAAATAATTTTCTGACCTGTGAAGATTTAAGGGCTGCAGCTGTCACATCTGTAGCAGTGCTGTTTTAAATAGTGAAACTAAAGAGTAAGTATCTTGTTTTTGCTTTTGGATCACGTGAACAAACTTGAATGTGATTTTTTGTTTTCATTTTAGGCATAGCATTTCCTTGTTCCCTCAGTTAAACACTGGAATTACATCATTAGGTAGTTGAATTCAACTTAACATTGAGGAACAAAGTTAGCTGTTTTTTGACATTGTATTGTATATACTTTTAACAACAAAGTTTAATGGAATATATTCAGGCAAAACCCTTGCCTTTTTATGTTCGCAGTTGAATGAAGAGCTGTAGGGTACATAGTGAGCAAGTTAGTTTCAAGTAACTTTCATAGTTAGTGGACTAACATTCTGTAGTGAACAAATGCACTGCATTTTATCTTCACTGGCTAGAGCCCCCTAGCAAGTCGACTGCCTTAGAGAAGTTGTGTGCTGTTTAATAGGATTCTAGAGCTGGGTTGAGAATAGTCTGTAGACAGGCAGCAAAAGGAAACTTTAAATGATACTGACACAAACTTCCTGTCATATTAGAACTGTATTCAGTGTAACGGTGACTGCCTTGATGCAATATTGCATGCAGCATTGTGGCCATGTTGTCAGACTGTTAATGTTTATGAAGGCTGGTACATTGTTCTTCCTTTTGGACTAATAAGCGCTTTATTTTCTCTCTCATGTTCCCCTGAATTGTGTGAGATGAAAACTTTATTAAACAAGTTTCTCATATGTAGATTTACACTTTGTTGCCAGATGTTCAACTGTACCTGCTCTTCATTTTTGTGTGTGCTCTTTAGTTCACAATGAGATCAAGTTATGGAAGTCAGAAGTTGGTAGGTCATAGTGCCTAATGCTGGCTTGGTCTCCAGTTATGGGTAGGCTTAGGCAATGCTGAGAAGTAAAACAGGCTCTGCATTTTCCACCAGTGTTAGGGCTGGACCTTGAATTGCTTTGAAATGGAGTAAGAAAGCACATTCTACCATTTTATCATGAAGGAAAAATGTATTAATTCCCTTTGGAGTTAAAGACAGTGGAACACTACAGCATTATCATAAGCTTGAAAGGGGAAGGTATATTTTTTACCAATCCGGACTTACTGAAAAACGCATTTTGTTAGCTGAACTGAACAAAAGTATTAAGGAGTATGAATGTAATTGTGGCTTTTTAAAATAAGATGGGGACTTCATGCCTTAAAAATTAAGGTATCACTTAACTGTGGTTAGCCCCATGTTGTACTTTTATACATGTACCTGCACTCTGTATTTTGAGACATCATGAACTGCACGCTGATGTAAAAAATGTAAAATATTTCTAGATTTAAAATAAATCACTGTACAATTTTACCTGATGCAGCTAAACTCAAAGTTGTTTTTTCTGTATTAGCAAGTACTTAAGCAAAGACTGCGTTGGGTGTTGTGAATACTGTTACTTTAGCATTTCAGTTGGTTCAGTAGTGTCACCCATCTGTGCAAAAAAAAATAAACGGTGCTGGGGAGGGGAATGAAGTGTCCTTTGGGCATCCAAGTAGATAAAAGTATTGGCTGCTTCTGCAGTAGCTCATTAGAAAACATTTGATAGGGAAGATCCCAAATTAATGGATGAGCTTAGTCTGCTCTTGTACTTATTTCTCAGTAGGATTTGAGGGCAACAGCAGAAAGTCTTCCCCATGCCCTCATTATATTAAGTTTGCACTACCATACACTCATGATAGGGAGTGCATAGTGGAAGTTATGCAGTTCTGTACATGGTGTTAGTCTAATGATCTTAACGCTGTTTTTGAGAAGACCCTATCTTCTTGCACTCCACAGCAGACTGCTCATTTGGCAGGTGGTAAGTTTGTACACTGTCATAACCCTGCTCTGAACAGCCTTATTATTATAGGAGGAAGATTGCCTAACAATGATTTTTTTCCCTCATAGGGAAGACTAAAAGAAGTTTGGGGGGGGCTATAAAAAAAAAAATTCATCCCTTGAACAAGAACCTCCCTGACATGCTAGGTGTTTGGTAATTAAGTTTTTTTATTAGTAATGCAGATAAAAATGCCTATTTTTAGCTCTAGATTAGCACTTGAAGATATGAACCCAGTTTTTTCCCCACAGCCAACTGTTGAGGAATATTTTCCCCCACTACACGCACATGTATGCATACTTTTTTTTCAGAGAGACTTAACTGTCTTTGAAGTCTACCTTCAACAGAAACTTTCCTGAATTTCCTTACAGAGTGTAGTACTCAGCCTGCATATATTGGCTGCAAGAATTAGCAGGAAAAATGCAAGAACAACCAGTAGTGAGTTATGCTCAAGAAAATGCTGGGCTAAGAAGGTCTACTACAAAGTAAACTTGGAGAAACCAGTTATTGAAACAAATGACACAGCCCAGTGTCTCAATCTCTTAACCAAACTCTGTATTTACTTCCTGAGGATTGGAGGCAAGTGCATTTACTGTCACAGCAGTGCATGAAAAGCAGAGGAAAAATCACTTTCATTTAGCCCAAGTATAGCCTGCTCACCCAAAACCAATCCAGCAAGGATTGGAAAGCCCATCTTAGTGAAAAGGCTGGTTCACTAAAATAAGTTGCCCTTTCAGTTCAGTTTTGAGTTACATATAAATGTTTATCCCTTATCTGTGGTAAGATGACTTGGGAGTAAACACAGAGTTATAAGTGAACATAGAAATAACCCTGTCATGGTAAACCCCAGTTCAAGATGAGGGTACCTTTGCACTGATTCCAGGGTTGTCAGCTTACAACTTTATAATGCTTTATTAAGTGCTGGCAGAAAGCACCACAGACATTTAAGATTCTTTTACTGTTATACAGCATAGACATGCACATGAATTGGCAAAATCTAATCACAAAATGAAAGATTTTTTTTCCAGGCAAATGGTAACAATTGTGCAACAAATGTGTTCAATCATATAAGACTGTGGATTTCACGAACAAGTTTAGAAAGCTGGGTTTTCACCCTCAACATCTTTCAAGTTGTAGAAACACATGTTTAACTTTTTTCAAGTATCATGCATTTTCTTCTCCCCACCTGTTGTTTTCCACCATCTAGAAAGAAAAGCAGAGGGACTGACTATTCTGCATTTTACACATGCCCTGAAAAAGGAAGGGGAGTATATATTCATTCTTAATGGGAAATGAATCATCAAATGTGTGTGGTAGACGAGATGTACTAGGCCACTATCATACACCAAAAAGCTTTTCTTGTAAGAATGACAAAAGACCAAACTTTACCCTCAGCAGTCATCTTCCCAGAATTCTAGTCTCCCAGGAAAAAGCCACAGTCCAATCCGATTACAAGGCCAATACACCAAATGAAGAGCCACATTTATAAATACTTTCCAGAGTAATATCCCAGTGAACACACCACCCTCTGTGTCCCCCTGTACAGAGCTACTCAAAGAGGAGGTCCTCATCCTTCTCTTCTACTAGCAGGTTGGCAGGCTCACGTTCCTCACCAGCTGCTCTCCACAACTCCCGCTCTTTTTCTGACTTCTCTTTCAATATTTTCTTTTTCTCCTGGATTTTCTTTAATCTACAGGAAGAGAGTCCAGGTGATTTACAAAGTCTTCACTGGTAGCACACCTGTGCTAAATACAGTGTGACAGAATATTAGTCACCTTTTGCCACAAAAAACACTCCATCCCTCTGTAGTCTAGAGCACAAGTAAGGAAGAGACTGAATGAGGCTGGCAGCTGACCATTTAAAAATCTGATGTTGCCACTTTGATTAGGGGTCAGTTTCCCCCCTCCCTCCATCTGTGAATTAAGCTACTATTTATTTACCTACTTATTTGGGGCTCATGTTGGTTATGAGGAAATCCTAAAAACTTCATCCATTGCTTACAGGGTAGAGTTAGAGTTAGTTGACAGACAAGAGAAAAAGAATGACCAGGTAGGAAGAGAAAGAAGTACACAGGAAGATTACAGGTACAAAGGAACAGAGAAGGGGAATGAGAAGTCAAAACAATGACTTTGGGGAGCTCAGTGCTTGGGAAAGCTTAATACTAAGAGGTTAAACAGAGGGATAGAAGAAATGGCCCAAAAAACAGATTTCCCTTAGGTCAGAAAGGCTCGTATTTGAGTCTGCTACCTTCTTCTGATAGCCCTCCCAAGATCCTCATTTCTGAAAGCCTTTAAAAAACCTGCAGATGCATCCAAGGCATATAGTTTGCTTCTTGGCTCCTTATACCAGGTGTTAGAGCCATGTTCAGCACCACAGCCTAACAGCATGAGCACCTTGAAGAACAACTTCCCTTTTAATTCACTAGCACGCATGGCACTAAGCATTCCTTCCAGGGAAAAGATCATCTAAAGCATTTTTACACATCTTAGTGCACACAATGTGCTCTTTTTGTAAACAATTACTCCTCCACCTCTCTCCATTCTATTATTCCCCTCCCCGCTTTTTCTGTCAGCTTGAAACTAGGATGACAACTAGCATCATGTCTAGACAGGTGTCTGCAAGCAAGAGCTTCAGTACCCATTTAGGAATCCGATATAAAGAGCTGAAGCTTTCATTTTGAAGGATGCCCACAGGCCAGGCTCCATCAAAAATCCTATCAAAGATCTGGAAGAAGACTACCTTTCTTTGGTGCTGTGAAAAACCACCAACCTTGCTCTGTGCAACAAATGATTTCATAGATTTCATAGACATCAGGGCTGGAAGGGACCTCGGAAGATCATCGAGTCCAGCCCCCTGCCCAAAGGGCAGGAAGTCAGCTGGGGTCATAGGATCCCAGCAAGATAAGCATCCAGTTTCATCTTGAAGGTGTTCAATGAAGGCGCTTGAACCACCTCCGGTGGCAGGCTGTTCCAGACTTTGGGGGCTCGGACAGTAAAGAAATTCTTCCTTATGTTCAGCCTGAAACGATCTTGAAGTAGTTTGTGACCATTTGACCTCATCATCCCTTGGGGCGCTCTGGTGAACAAACGTTCCCCCAGATACTGGTGGTCATCCCTGATAAACTTGTAGGTGGCCATCAGATCACCCCTGAGCCTGCGCTTTTCCAGGCTAGAGCCCCAGCGCTCTCAGCCTGTCATCATAGGGTCTGCTTCCCTGACCTCTGATCATGCGCGTGGCTCTTCTCTGGACTCTCTCAAGCTTCTCCACATCCTTTTTGAATTGTGGAGCCCAAAACTGGACACAGTACTCCAGCTGCGGCCTCACTAAGGCCGAGTACAGG